TTTCACCAAGGGGGGTATGTGTTGTCGCACAGAGTCTTTCCTTTCCAAACGACGCGTTTGTGCGGACCGACTGCGCTCAATGTGAGCGCGGCGGCACTGGGCCCAGCGATATGACGGAATTCAAAGCACAAGAAGGCACGAAGAAATACATGTATGAAAGCTCGAAAACTTACGATCTTGCTGGTGCATACAGCAAGTCAATTGTGAAGAACACTATTTGGTCGTCGGAGGCTATGAATTAGGCTACTGCTGGCTTGAGCTCAGTGCATAATCGCTGTTGGTGTCTATGTTGGTGTCACCGCTAGTCTGTTGCGCAATTTCAATGGGATGGTTAAAATGACAGGCTCTCTTGGTTGAATAGATATGAGACTCTTCCGTGTCTCACTTTGTATCTTTCTCGTGAGGCGCAACGTTGATGCCGTCCCTGCAACGTATACTGGATTTGGCGGTCTCAATGGTGAAGTGAGGTTCACCGTTGATTACGAAAATGACTCGGATTCTAATCTAGAGATCCAATATGAATGCGATGGGAAGGGGGGGTATTTCAAACTACATACGTTTGTAGAAGTTTTTAAAACACCTCTGGAGGGCAAAAAGCAGGACGCGAACTCAGTGTTCGACGTTAATAAGAAGCGTCACACAACAAAGCTGTATGGAAAGAGCCGGGGCATGTCCGTCGACCATCTTAGGGGGAATCTCAGACCGAACACGGCATCAACGTCAGTAGATGGAATGAGTACGGTCGAGCCTTATGCTAGTGAAGCCGGTGCGAGTACTGATTCACTTCCCAACGCTGAAGATGGCCAATTAAGTATCTATGACCGGAGACCTGACGGCGAGAATGACCAACAGAGCGATGAAGAGTTAGATACAGTGCCCAGCTTCATACTCCCTCGCAGTATTTCTGAAGATGAAATTAGGACGAAGTTTGCCGAAGCGTGCGGAGAGCAATTCGGGGAGTTTGATGACGAGGCACAGCTTCTGGGGGCCGAAGAAATAACGGATAGTCTGTTTTTCATGACTTTCCTCGGTAGAAGCGTTTCCCTCGCAAGAGGTGAGTTGGTGGATCGATTTTGGCCACTTTCTTCGTACAAAACACTGACGTGGCTCTTTCACTGAGTGAATCTAGGGGGAAGCCCGCGTCATTGCGAGTTCCGTATGCTATCATAGAATAAACAAGTCCGGTGGAGAAGCGTTTGAGCTCCCTATCCTGCAGCATGAATTTTCTATCTTCAGAAGTAGAGCTACTTGAGGTATATGGTATTTGCAAGAACAGGCTTATCGCGCTGCAGCTGTCTGTACATTCCTCGCAAAAACTTCATTTTTCGACGAATTGCCTGGTCGCATTTTGATGGTGAAAATTATCTGTGGTATCACTGGTGATCATAGCGACATACCGTTGCCGTGTGTCAGGTCAAGCACCGCTCCCAGTAGGGGATTTTCATCTGGAAGGGAATGAAAATGTCACATTCCGAAGCATGGACGGGGCGAATATAGCAATGAAGGTCGAAGGCGAGGGCGGTAGAGAAATTGTAGTCCCACTAAGACCGGAAAGTAACAATAACAAGAATGATCGGCTTATTAACGTCATGGCAAAAGATGTTGTCGTGAGGACATCATCTATCTTCTCCGAAACTTGGTGGTCATTTCTGGAGAATTATGGGAGACTTTCCAATGGAAGGAAACCCTTAGATGGACAGAGCTTCCTGAAATTCTTTTGGAACGAGGAAGATGGGACTTGGTCTACGATGGTTGATGGAGAAGAAAAACGCTTGATCAGGCTCCCTTTTAAATTGTCAGAATCGCGTGGCAGGTAGAGTGAGTCAAGTTGAGGATCACCTACAGGTATGCCCCGGATTAGTAATCAGATCTACAGAAAGAGAAGAAGAATAATCATTCTC